AATTACTGGCGGCTGTTAGTGTCGCTGAACAACTTGATGGGGTTGATACTGTCCCTGTAATACTAGTCAAGTACGTGTAGTAGTGGGCGGGGCAGTGGGTGGAGCATAAGGAGTCATTAATATATTAATAATTATATTGATAGGGTGTTAGAGGCAGTGGGTGTGGCCTCGTGGAGTAACTATGGACCGTTTTCTGATTGTTACTGTTTAGTGTCCCTGATGGATACTGAAGGACATGTAAAGTATGTAGTGTGTACATGTACATGTAATACAATGTACTTTACAACACATGAATACTTGTATTATAGTGATTAGTGGTTAGTGGTTAGGTGTACATGTACATATGTACAGTGTATGGGTATTGAGTTACAATGTTGTCCATTACATTTCATTAATGTACTTCTGCTGGTTTCAATATTTTACATTTTTTAAATATTGGAGCTGTTAATACATGTACAGTGTATCTAAGTACATGTACATGTACATGTATAGTGTACTGGTTTCTATTCTTCATGTTAATAAATGAATTAATTAATTAATTAATAATGTACAGGACATGTACATGTATAAACATTATGTCCGTTATCATTTAAAATAGCAGAGTACCTCATGAAGTGCATGTACATGTAGGTTGATTCCACTTTTAATTTGATTAATATATTTATTTATTATTATTATTATTATTATTATTATTATTATTATTATTATTATTATTATTATTATTATTATTATTAATTAGGTCTGATACAAGGAAAGGAATTGTACACAAACGTACAATTGATCCAAAATTTGGAGAAGTGTTTAGATTTAAGGTAAGATACAGCATGTCTTCTCTCTCTCTCTCTCTCTCTCTCTCTCTCTCTCTTTTATGTTTTGCTGTACATGTTGTATGATTGTGTGTTGTTGTTTTTATTTTTAGTTGGGAAAAGACGACAAAATCAATGATTTTATAATCAGGTAATTGATAATAATAATAACAACAACAACAATAATAATAATAATAATAACAATAATACCATGATAATACTTTAATTTGATCCAATATTAAACTTCAATTGAAATATTCTCCCAATGACTAACCCACCTACCATTAGTATGTACATGTACATGTGCCCCTTCATGTACTGTAGGATATCACTGTGGCACCAGCAGCAGCTAATGGGGGACGTGTTCTTAGGACAGATACACTTATCACTCTCCTCATTATCACTCACTGGACCACACCCACCTCGCTCCTACCAGGCCTGGTACAGTCTCCGCCCCAGGTCAGAGTACAGTCCATTAAAGATTGGATCAATGAGATTATTACTAATATACCATGAGGACTATATACTCACATCAACCACTTATCAACCACTCCTGAACCTACTGGTGAACTCCATCACTGAACCGGTACGAGTGTATATTCTAATTATATGTACAACAATGTACTGTACATGTATACATGTTATAATTATTAAAGATTTTACTTATCATACATTTACATGTACATGTACATATGTAGATGCACATGTACAGTGTAGCCTCTTTATTAAGGACACCATTGGGCCCACACTACCTGTCCTTAATACATGTACAGTGTAGCCTCTTTATTAAGGACACCATTGGGCCCACACTACCTGTCCTTAATACATGTACAGTGTAGCCTCTTTATTAAGGACACCATTGGGCCCACACTACCTGTCCTTAATACATGTACAGTGTAGCCTCTTTATTAAGGACACCATTGGGTCCACACTACCTGTCCTTAATACATGTACAGTGTAGCCTCTTTATTAAGGACACTATTGGGCCCACACTACCTGTCCTTAATACATGTACAGTGTATCCTCTTTATTAAGGACACCATTGGACCCACACTACCTGTCCTTAATACATGTACAGTGTAGCCTCTTTATTAAGGACACCATTGGACCCACACTACCTGTCCTTAATACATGTACAGTGTAGCCTCTTTATTAAGGACACCATTGGGTCCACACTACCTGTCCTTAATACATGTACAGTGTAGCCTCTTTATTAAGGACACCATTGGACCCACACTACCTGTCCTTAATACATGTACAGTGTAGCCTCTTTATTAAGGACACCATTGGGTCCACACTACCTGTCCTTAATACATGTACAGTGTAGCCTCTTTATTAAGGACGTTCGAGGTACTTTTGTATAGGTTTCTAACTTTGTACCAAAGATTTCAGCTACATGTACATGTACTAGTTGACATGTTGACATGTTTTTGTTGTGACAGTTAATCTTGTTGTTTGTTTGATATTATTTCTACGTTATGTACTGTAGGATTTTCAAGATACCTCATTGTGTATACTGAATGAAGTGAGTAAGGACAGATCAGCAATGGGTCTCTGTATAGTCAATCTATTCCTCCAACTCAATAAAGTATGAAACTAATGGACATGTTTATGTTGATAATGTACATGTACATGTATTTTATCTTTTAGTTTGAGGAGTTAGCTCATAGACTGATTACAGTTGAAGTTACCTCCACCAGGTAATGCTTTATTTATTATTAATTTGTTGTTCCATTTAACGGACAGCACCTAGTGTACCAATTACATTCCTTACTGTATAAAATAACCTCCACATAAAGGACACCTCTGTATAACAGAGACACTTTCTTGTACATAAGTGTCCATTATATAGAGGCTACACTATAATTAATAATCTTTATTTATTTATTTATTTATTTATTTATTTATTTATTTATTTATTTATTTATTTATTAATTTATTTATTTATTTATTTATTTATTTATTTATTTATTTATTTATTTATTTATTTATTCTAGTGATCCTAATACATTGTTTCGTGGTAATTCTGTGGCCAGTAAAGTGATTGATGAGTTTATGAAAGTTGTTGGACAAACTTATCTACACAGGACACTGCAGCCTTGCATTGATGAGGTAATAAATAATAATAATAATAATAATAATAATATTATTAATAATAATGATAATAATATTAATAATAATAATAATAATAATATTGTTATTATTATTATTAATGATATATGCACAATGTAATT